ATTTGAAACTGATAACTCACCTTTGTAAGCAGCTGATTGACGATGCTATCATGAACTCCTGTACCATCTCTAGTAGATCCTCTTGACTGAAAATGAGAAACAAATCATAAATTATACTGTTCCTTTCTTGCAGGTACTCCAATCATATATATTCAGTTACCAAAGCCTTAGCATGAAGGTAATTAGGCCACCTAGTATCACATTACTTGATGATGAAAAGATAAGCCGGTAAAATATTTTCCATGCAATTTATACCCTTGATTATGCTAGTATGATTCTCCACATGCATGCAGGATGGAATAATACTTAAATTAATTTAGCATAATGATTCTTGGACTTAAACTGGATTCTATCACCTAACTTAGCTGTAAATTGATTTTTGAAAGTAAAATTATCATCTGGTGATAGTAAATTAAAGAAAATCATGTTCCCAAAGTGACAATGAACAGGGAATTAAGGGGCACAACATTTAGTTAACTAGAACAAGACTTGATGAGAAGATATTCAAGTGACAAAATGAAAAAGCTAGAATAGAATTATACAAGGTAAAGATAGAGATTTATAAGGAGTCACCAAAGGAAGTCCTTCCTTATCTCAATATGGAGTATATTCAGAACAACAATGGCAGCATACAGCAATACTACTAGTACTTATACCCATGGGGCTGGGCCATAAACCAAAGAATTATCCATTGCCTTCGTGATCATCAAAACGATGTCCAGAGAGTAATATCACCATCAAAATTATCAAGATAAGAAAAAAAAAGGGATTCCTATGAGTAGACTTGGCAAACGAGCGGGTTGGGTCGGGTCTGCGATAGGTCAACTCAGGTAACGAGTTATACGGGTTGGGTTATGAACGGGTTGCAGGTTGGAAAGTCCAACCCTGACCCGATCTTAATAGGTTACGGGTTAACCCACGAGTTGACCTTATTTTTATTTTTTATAGTTATTTTTTATTAATTTTATTATATACAAATAAAATTATATATATCTAAATTTAATTAAAGTATTGTGATTCATTAAAACTAAGTACTTCATAGTTTCAACCACAAACAATTAAATTAAGAAAAAAATCATAAAGTTATAAATAATAATAAGTTGATTAACAATAATAATATTAAACGTAAAATATTTAAATTTCTTGGAAAATAAAGTTTAAAATTTATAATTATCTTGAAACATTATCAAGTAATTTAAGCCATTTTTTTAATGATGAAATTGCTCTTCCAATAACATCTTTCATTAAGTTATTATGTTTATGTCCTAGCATCACATCTTTTAATATTTTTAGTTGCATTATCATTTCATTTATGATACTTAGGTAATTGTTAATACCAAGAAAAAAAAATGATTCTTGGATAATTAGATTAAACTCATCATAATTTCTTTGTCTTTCTCTAGAAATTAGGGAGTATGAATTAATTAAAGAAGTTACCAATAGGAATATTAATTAAGAATAATAAGTATAATTTTTAAAAATAATAATAAAAAATAAAACAAATGGGTCAACCTATCAACTCGCAGGTTGACCCTAACCCAACTCGTGACTTGTACAGGTTGATGATACGAGTTATCTACAAATTGCGGGCTGGGATATGTAGACCCTAACCCGTTTTTATGGGTCGGGTTAGGGTCGGGTTGATTTTTGCTAGGTCTACCTATGAGATTTGTGCAATATAATCACATAAAGATTATAACAAATAGCCCTAGCCTACTGGGTACTGTGGCACCTAAATCCCAGAAAACTATATAGGTGTCCCTTATTTAACCAGATTCTCCAGAACTTGCTCAGAGGGGAATAGGAAAAGATAAGGAGGGTTGACCCTACCTGTCAAAGGACAAGACGATTATTGTATAAACACATTTAAGTTCAACATATACAGATAGCATCTCAAGTTAAGGGTTAAGTACTGGAAATATTGGTCCTCATTGTAGACATCATGCTACTCCCAATCTCAAGTTAAAGAGCATAACATAAAGCTGTTAAATCTAGTACCTTACAGATAGCATCAATTTCATCAAAAATTATGACATGCAAATCACTTTGGTCACCTGAAATGCCAAGGACATGATGGATCATTATACTATTGACAAACTAATCCACAAAAATATAATAAAGGAACTAGCAATTTTTAAATCTCCCTTACCGCGAGTCCGTTGATCGTTCTCTGCATCAGCAAATAGATCCCTAACATTCTTTTCAGTTTCACCAACAAATTTGCTTAGAACTTCAGGGCCATTGACAATCTATATGATTCAAAAGAAAAAAAAAGAGGGAAACAAATTACAATGTGTTAATGAAATAACATATTCACTCACTACAGATGCCCATCATATTACAAAAAATGTTTCATTCCAGACGTTCAAAGAGTTGAATAACAAAAAATATGTTCAAAGAGTCAAATAACAAAAACAGTAGAAAACATAGGCTCAATCACCAAAAGTTAAAAACAACTTCAGAAAGAAAATATAGGTTCTCAATCCTATAGAAAACCAAAAAGAGAAATGATAACATATGTGGATTGTTTGCTTAAAGTATAGTGTAAATAAATACAGTATACTCCAGTCCAAACCTTTGGTTCCCTTCCATTCAACATCTTTCCAATTTGACGGGCCATGAGAGTTTTGCCAGTGCCAGGAGGTCCATAAAGTAGCATGCCTTTTACATGCTTAATCCCCAATCTGGAAATTCAAAGACTTTCTCATTAGTGGATGATGCATAGCTACCAAAAATATAAATTTGATAATTTGAGATGTTAGCTCTATTACTTGCTTGTCACATGGGGAGGGAAAACCCGAGAAGCAAAAGCTCTTCGAAATATATCAGCAAACTCATTGCTTAAGCCTCCTATACCCAGTGACAGGAGATTAAACTCCTTTTGCCTGAAGATGTTGCTACTGGCAGCCTCACGCTGATTTACAATCTAAATAGCAGAAAAGCAAGTTACTGAATCAATAAAGCTGGTCATATCTAGACAGTCAAATTTTAATTGAGATGAGTGGATAAAATTAAAAATAATCTCTATGACTCATCTCAAATTGAATAGAAGTCATCTGAATAGAAGATGAAAATAAAGAAAGGAGAACATATGGTGATGAATAACCTTTATTCCACTTGAATTTGATGCCTCAAAGATAATATATGTCTCATTTGAAATCAGTCCCCTTTCAGGAGCATTAGATCCTTCTTGCCCCTCTAAAACAGCTTGATTGACAGTAAAAATATAATTATTCCCATGATACTCAAAGGAAACTCTTTGGCCTGCTGTCATAACCTGCACATAAGGTTACCAACGTTCAATGACTAAAAATATGACTCTCAAATGAGAAAGAAAACTAGAGGAATGATAAACAAAGATCAATCAATTCAGTCCATTCTATATGCATTTAAGTAGTAAGAAAGTTTGTGTGTGTGAGTCTAAATCCACCCATAGAGGTGGTACCTACCAGATCTACATTTCTTTTCCCTTCTACATAATAGCAATGAAATGATTACATTAATAATTGGACAGGAAGTCCCAGCCAACAAATTTAACCTTGTGGAAACAAATGAGCTTCTAATATTTTCTTATTTTTACATATAATAATCACAGTTAAGCAGCTTGTAACTGTCAAAATAGAATTTGTATTTAATTTTTCTGATACCCAGAGTTCTAAAGACTGCACCTAACTGACACATCCATTAGATATAAATCATCTGTTCCATTATTTTAAGAATGAAAACTCCTGTAACATTATGATGGCAGGAAGGAAATTCAAATTTCAAAATCAGCTCATCTAAAACAAAAATAAAGAAAGAAGAAAAACCTAGTAGCATGCTGATGAAACAAGTCAACCATATAAAACTCTACCTGGTTAATAAACCTCTGTTTTAACTGCATAGCCAGCAGAACAGCATCAACCTACAAATGGATTGAAAATTTTAGTCCTACAACCCTCATGAAGCAATAGAAAACTAGTAGGACAGTAAACAAACCATCAAGACTGAAAAACTACCAGCTCATTCTTAGTCCCCTTCTTCACGAATTCCAGCTCAAGTGTAAGCAATGCAAGGTTAAAATTATCTGGAGGAATAAATCTATATATACCAAAGAAAACTCAGAAATTATTAATAGTGG